GAAGAGATTAGCAGGCCAGGGCAATATGACACCTAGGAAGGTGGGTATCCTATAGAGGGAATCCTACAGTAGGATTTGAGTGCTCTAACTCAAAGCAACTTTCAATTGTATTCAGCTTTAAGCTGCGCTGCATTTGCATTTTATTGTCTCAGGGTCTTCAAGTAAAGTGTGGTGGGATGGCGGGGAGGATCTGTGCTCATGTTTGGTATGAACAAGTATAGGAAAGTATACTTTCTGAAAGGAAAGGGGTTGAAGGAATTTATATACCATATGAACATTACCTGGAAATTGTCAGAGATTCTTAAAGGTAACTTAGTAAAACCAAACAACCCAATTGCTTATGCTATTGTTATTTATTTAAAAAAAAAATTTATTTTGACAAAGAGTCTCATTGTTGCCAGGGTGGAGTGCAATGGTGCAATCTCGGCTCACTGCAACCTCCGCCTCCCGGGTTCAAGCGATTCTCCTGCCTCAGCCTCCTGAGTAGCTGGGATTACAGGCACCCACCACCACACCCAGCTAATTTTTGTATTTTTAGTAGAGATGGGGTTTCACCATTTTGGTCAGGCTGGTCTCAACCTCCTGACCTCAGGTGATTCACCCCACTCGGCCTCCCAAAGTGCTGGGATTACAGGCATGAGCCACCATGCCTGGCAGGTTTTTATTTTTTTAGGGGGAGAATAAGAATGAGGAAGAAGAGGAGGGGAAAGAACAGGAGGAAGGAAAGGGGAGAGAGGGTGAGGTAAGAGAAGGAACGGAAGAAGAAGAAGAGGAAGTGACAAAGAACTATGTGGCGCAATCTCGGTCACATATTTTTATTAACGATAACAAAGTAAATACTTTTGTGGATGAATCCTTTATAGGATAAAATGTGTTGACTTGTGGTCTTCTCGACTTGTCCTTTGGCTGTGTCTGAGGCAGGTGGCTAGAATTCAGGAGGAGGGAAGACACCTGGCAGGCAGAGAATTTTGAACTGGGGCTTCAGGAAAGTAATGAAATCAGGACTAAAAAACATATATATTTGGCCCTCCCCTGTCTTCTATTAATAATCCTTTTTGTGCACTGTTTCAGTCTTGTTCTGTAATATACCCATTTCTTCTGCTTTTCTTTTTCACACTGTAAGTAGACAGTCATCTATTTTCATCTTACTTTCTAATTTTCTCTTAAATATTATTTATTTTTTAAGGGATTCTGACTGATCACATAGATCAGACATGACCAATCGAACAGAGCCACATTGCAAAAAATAGCTTCCAGGAGCCTTTCTTGTGGACCATGCAGAAGAGCTGGTTAGAGAGAATTGCCCTTAGGACTGGGCAAATGGGGTCTCTGGCCTTGCCTGCTCCTTATGCACCCCCTTGCATCTTGAAATACCCTTCTCAACATTTTCTAAGTCTCCCATGAGTGGCTGCAGTCAGCCCAGGCTGGCAGTGCCTGGACTGAGATCCGCATGGGCTCCGTTCTGTTTCTCTCCTTTGGGACTGTCTCCCACCCTCAACCCTTCCTCCCAACACAGGAAGCCCTGAGGAGCTTCAGGACTCATGTCTGTAGTGTTGTCTTGGGGCCAGGACTGATTCCAGGAGAGTTAGCCCCGGTTAGAGATCTCATGGTTTCCAGAGAAGATGGGCTACATAGACAATTTGATACCTTTTTTTGAGACAGAGTCTTGCCCTGTCACCAGGCTGGAGTGCAGTGGTGTGATCTCGGCTCACTGCAACTTCTACCTCCCGGTTCAAGCAATTCACTTGCCTCAGCATCCCGAGTAGCTGGGACTACAGGTGCGCACCACCACGCCCAGCTAATTTTTATATTTTAGAGACGGTGTTTCCTTATGTTTGCCAGGATGGTCTCAATCTCTTGACCTCGTGATCCTCCCGCCTCGGCCTCCCAAAGTGCTGGGATTACAGGCGTGAGCCACCGTGCCCAGCCAATACATTTTTTTTTAACCACACAGTGTGGAAACAGAATTTGAATAACAATGTACTCTTGAGGAATAGAGGAAAGTTTAAGACTGGAGGATGTGAGACCAGTAAAAACATCAAAACCACTTTTACAGCTTTACTTAGTGAGTTAGGTATACTACTAAATGTAGTATAGAAAGACAAGGACAGACCTAGTCACGTTGGTTAAAATTAATATTTTAATTAATTCCATCTGAAAAGAAATCACACAATCTAAAACTGATTTTATTGATTTTTTGATACTTGAAATACTTCTTCAAGTCATCTTTTGAATTTGTAGTTATTTTTGAAAATGCCATCTCATCTAGACAGTGCTAACACACACAAGAAAACGTTTGACCACATTTGAGGCAAGATTGCAAAATAGAACCCCACAAAAACCCAGGCGTGGGGATGGCAATGGCAGAGCCAAAGAGCCTCACAAGGAGAAGAAGCAGAAGCTTGTGGGGGTGGGGATCCTTCAGGAGCTCTTCATACTTGACGGATTTTGTCAAGTTTTTCCCTTGCTCTCTCTCATGAGCTCACTTCATTTTAAATGAGATTAATTACTTTTCAAAAATTAAATAATGCAGGTAAATACAATGCACTAGTGGCATGCAAAAGAAATAAATATTAAGTGTTTCATTTACTTAATGTTTTAAAATAAATAAAATTTTTAAAACATTGGGGTCAGGTCGGGTGCCGTGGCACACCCCTGTAATCCCACCACTTTGGGAGGCCAAGGCAAGCAGATCACCTGAGGTTGGGAGTTCAAGACCAGCCTGACCAACATGGAGAAACCCCGTCTCTACTAAAAATACAAAATTAGCCAGGCGTGGTGGTGCATGCCTGTAATCCCAGCTACTCGGGAGGCTGAGGCAAGAGAATCACTTGTACCTGGGAGGCAGAGGTTGTGGTGAGCTGAGATTGAGCCATGTACTCCAGCCTGGGCAACAAGAGCAAAAACTCCATCTCAAAAAAACAAAACAAAACAAAAAAAAACAGATTCACCTGCTGGAGTTCATCTCCTAGAAAGGGTAAGCACTCCTTTATTTATGGGGCAACAATGGTCTCTCCACAGGTCAGAGATGTCTTATGTGTCTCCAGGTGGCTGTGGTCCTTCTCTTCTTGATTGTGCCTGGTCCTCTCAAGGACCTAGTGTGGTTTCTTCTTCCTCTGCCCTCCTATTCAGGGCACTGTGCCTCCCTAGAGTTTCCCTGGCTATGCAGGGCTACACCTGGACGCTTCATCTTCACTTCCTGCTTCCATGCCCCAGATGAGGGTCCCCAGGAGTCCTATGGCAGGGAAGCTGAGAGGAGCCAGAAGCCAGAGCTGGTGAATGTGCAGATATGGAGGAAGCAAAACTCCAAGTGAGTGTGTAAAAGCTTCACTGAATGTTCTCATAAGATTAGCAGGAGGAAAACTGGGAAGCTTTGGAGCTAAGAACAAGGGTGAGATAAAGTTAAGAAAAAAAATTGATTAAGGGAGACATATTTAGAAACTTGAAGTTTCCTCTTTTTTTGTCTTCCATTCTCATTTCTAGTAAGGAGTGAGATCCTCATTGCCACAGAAGTGTGGGAATAGACCTTCTCGCCTGCAGGTTTTCTTCCTTATGCAGAGCCCCCAGGGCTGAGGATTCACTCAAATTAGAAAATTGCAGCCTCTACCAACAACTATAAATGTAGTATATGAAGACAAGGACAGAACTAGACATGTTGGCCAAAAATAGGGCCTTTCTCTAGTTCTGTGACCTTATCTAGAGCCAGACACAACTGTAAACAGGGGATCAAATGTAATGATTAAGTGCTGACAGACGCCAAAGGTAGTCTTTCAGTGGCTGTCAGGAAGGATTGCCCAGAATGGAGTGGATTCACAGGCTAAGTACACTGGGAGCTATAACCAGCAAGATCCAGGAGAGAGCTACAGCTCCACAGCACTTAGTGAAGGAGGGGAGCTTTCTTCCTGAGTTACAACAATGACTAGGAAGTCAGGAAATCTAGGGTCTTGTCCCAGCTATGCCACTAACTAGCAACAGGCCATGTACAAGTCACTTGAAAGGCAAGAGTTACATTTGGTCAGGGATGACAAATGTGTGACACATACACCCTTCCCCCTCTCATGCCTTCAATAGAGGCTATTATTCAACCACATCACTGACCAGAATTTTTTTCTACAGTGTTTTGGGTAGGCACTTCCTTTTTTTTTTTTTGAGATAGAGTTTTGCTCTTGTTGTCCAGGCTGGAGTGAAGCAGCACCATCTCAGCTCACTGCAACCTCTGCCTCTCAGGTTCAAGTGATTCTCCTGCCTCAGCCTCCCTAGTAGTTGAAAGTACAGGTGCATGCCACCACGCCCTGATAATTTTTGTATTTTTAGTAGAAATGGGATTTCACCATGCTGGCCAGGCTGGTCTCAAATTCCTGACCTCAGGTGATCCACCCATCTCACCTAAAGTGCTACGATTATATGTTTGAGCCACGCCGCCTGACCGGCACTTCCAATTAGAGTTGGTATGCAAACTGAAATCTACTTGCTATCCCTCGATTCCATGCTCTCTAAAGTCACTTCCAGCTCTAAAATGTAAAGTTCTGAGTTTACAACTAAGAGGTGCCCATTTTTCTGATTTAGTAGTAGCTCACTCAAAAAAAAAAATGAAAATAGAAATTTAGGATCATAATTTCATTGACTCCTCTTCCCCGCCCTGAGGCTAAGCAGGATCTTTCTTAGGTTGCACTCACCTTCCTTCTGTGCCAGAGAATCATCTTATTTGAGCTTCACACCTCTGTCAGTTCACCCTTCATGGCAGTGTCCCAGGCTTTAGCTCCCTTTTGTCTAAAAAAGCCCACAGTTAACAGTTTCATGTTTGGCATCAAGGAATCTACAGGGAAAGGAGTTTTCTCAAGCCCCTAAAAGCCAAGTCAGAAGGGAAGGCATTTAATTACTCCATTCACCGTTCTTACTCCATTCACTATTCTCCAAAGCTAATCAGATTTACAGTTCTTACCCCTTGCTGAAAAGCGATGCCAGAAACAGTACCTGATAGAACCGCGACACAAATCAGATGTTTGCAACTGTGTTTTATTGAAAGGAAGAGTGGAGGAATAAACACGGGGCCCACCTCACAACCCACTCTTCACCCCCAAAATCACACAGGGGTGGGACTCAGGAGCGGGAAGCATGTGTGTGTTGAATAGGAGCCCTAACTGGAGTTATTTCTTTCACAGCAGTGAAGGAAGAGGGGAGAGGCATCTGTGGAAATGAAGAGGTTGAGGGAGGCGGGGTATCTCACTGCTCTGACTTTAGGTGGAGCCCTCCACTGAAGCATCGAAGTGGACGGGCACATACGGGTTCCCTTCACAGGCCACAATGATGTGTCTCTCCTTCTGGCTGGTCCGGTATGCACAGTTGGGGTACCTGGAGCCGTTTGTCAGGCGGCAGTCGGTGATACGCATGCTGGAGCTGCTCTTGTAGCAGTTGGGCTGCCCGTTCTTGCAGGTGACCTTTTCCTGGAAGCAGACATTCTGGACATCTACCAGGGGCTCGTGCACAAAGGTGTTCACTGGTTTGCACCGTCCCTGTGTCATATTCCGGCGCCTCATCATGTTGTTGCAGTAGGTGGGGTTGCTGCTGGGGGAACCATCTGAGTCCATGTGCTGCCGCTGGAACTTCTCGGCCCGGGATTCCTTGCCCAGGGAAGGCTTGGCCCAGCCCAGCACCAGCAGCACCAGGACTAATAGAGGGAGCAGGGCGAGGGACTTCTCCAGAGCCATGGTGGCCTCGCTTTCCTGGAAAAGCCTAACTGGGTAAAGGAGAAAGAAGGAAAAGAGGCCTCTTAAAAAAAGAACTCCAGCTCCCACCTATGGCTTCCCTGGTTTAGTTTCTGTTTCAGATCAGCCAGAAAGGCGTCCGTCCCTCTTCCTGAGGGTTTTCGTGTAATAAGACACTCACGTGTACCCTTCTCCACGAGTGTTTTATTGCCACTCTCCAAATCAAGATCTTCTTCCTTTCTAGGTGGTGATCTATGAAGTGACCTAAAATCCTGTCAGTTACTATCTTTGAATACTGGAGTTTCTTTGATCCAAAATATATTGTACCCAGTGCTCAAATGGCTCATCAAAACATCAGTTTGAATAAATCATGAGCAAAATTGTATCCCCAACATCCAGGACCTTGGGTGACAGAGCCTTGTTGTCTTACAGCACAAGGGAACTCAGACCAGTGCTTGACACTGGCATCATAAAGGATTCCATTGTATTCCAACAAGAAATGCTGGCGAGCCCCCAGCTTGGGGGCTCCTTCTTCTCCAGTCCCATGGATGCTCTGCAGCCTGCATGTTACACCCTGACCTGCCTGCCCCCAGCTGATGTTGCCTGGGCCATATTTTGTCAACGCTAGCATCATCCAAGCTTTCTCAGTGCTGTGGACTGGCCCTGGCTCCCTCTTCTCCAACCCTGAAGCAGAAGCAGAAGCATCACCTGAGACCACCTCTTGGGCTGCTTACCTGGATCTCCAGCTTGGTAATGAAAGGTCAGCTTCTGCAGTCACTCAGCTGCTGAAGTGTGGACCTTATACAGATTACAAAGGGGTTTGGCTTCCAAAGAGGAAAAAGTGGGAGGAGCATCTCCGGCTCTGTTCAAATAAAATCAAGGACAGTGGGAGGAAGGAGTGGTAAATCACCCCGGCCACCAACTTTCCAGAGCTGCTGGAGAAAGAGTTAATTTTTGCCTATATTCTTCCTATGTGAACCACATCTGTCTGATGATTCACAAGGAGCAGCAGAGAAAGCCACTGCAGCACTGGTGCCCAAACCTGGCAAACTTGGGACAAAGTCCTTGTTACCTCTTTGTGGACCATGATAAATTTATATTAAATAAATGTATATGTCTTTCACTTTTTAATCTGCCTTCTGTTATAGAGCCCCACCTTAGAACTTAAGACAGATAAGAAAGGTATTTCCTCCCCTACATTATCTAGATTTCTCCATGAAACACCCATCATGGCATAGACAAATTGGTTACTATCTTAAGTCAACATTGGTAGGAAAACTTTGAAAAGACAACTGAACTTACTTTTGGGGTCATGTGTCACTTGTCAAAAATATAACTCTGGAAAAACTGTAAAGTTGAGACATGGTTGGAAACCAAAGCCTCTTTGGACACCTTCAGACTGTTAGATGAAATAAAACCTTAGACAAATGTACATGAAATAAAACCTTAGACAAGTGTACATTTTAGCTGAGTTTATTTGAGCAAAGAAGAACAGAACAAAACAGAGCAAACAAAACAAAAACAGTTAAAAAATCAGGCAGCCCTTGGAACCAGAGCAAGGTCAGAGAACTCCAACCAATGACATAATCTGATAGCATCTATAGGAGACAGAAGAAGCATGGTACAGAGGCAGCCTCATTGGTTACAGCGTAATTGGTTACAGAGTCTCCTGCAGTTAACCAAAGCTCAGCTACAACGTATCATTAAACTACCATATTGGTTTGATCTGCTAGGCTTAGTGCAGGAGCCTAGTCCAAATCCATGTCCTTCCATAAATTTTATTTCACAAGACATTTAACTGGCTTTCACCCTCCACGGGATTTGACAATGTTTTAGATATTGCATGTCTGTTTTCAGGATGAGTTGAAGAATTTCCTTGCCAAAAAGCTACAACCCTTACAGCCATGAACAAGCAGCTTGATTTTGTGTTTTCAACCTGGGGCATCCCACCTTTTATATCAAGTGACTGAGGCACACACTTTAAGGCAACCTTTATAAAAGAACTCTTACTCAAAAACTATACCATCCTTACCAAACACAAGTTCCTGGAAAAGCTAAAAGGACTCATGGCATCCTTAAATTAAAATAAGCAAAAATTTCAGAAATCCTTGAGCTCCCTTGCCCAAAATTATACCCACTATCCTTTATGGATATACAGGCCACTCCCCTGAGGACACATAGGTTATCACCCTATGAATTGATACCTGGAAGGTCCAAGCATTGAGAGATTTCACTTCCAATACTAGAGTCGGTCCTACTCCATGCAGACATGACAAAATACCGCAAGGGACTCATCTATTGTACCCGGTCCTATCACCAACAGCTTAAGGCCCGCTTCCTACAAAATCTTCCTAAACAAACTCTCCATGATCCTCACCTAGGGGATTTGTCTACTGGAAGAAAAATCAGAGAAAAACTGCTTTTGAACTTCATTTATAAGGAAGATACTTTGTCAGAATCTGTTAACAATAGATACAGCAGTGAGACTCTAAGGAACCAATCTTTGAGTTCGTGTTTCACAACCAAAAAAGAGATTCAAAATTCCACATAATTGGAAGGCCACTCCAATTGTGTCTACACCATTGCCAATGCTTCTTGTGATACTCAGGTCAAGGACACAGGTAAGGTTAAAAAAAAAAAAGCCATACATTGCTTCAAAAAAAAAAAAAAGCTATTAATATTGGATCTCTAAGGTCCTCATGGCCTATGGGATTCGTCTTCTTGGCCTGGGTTAAGCAACTGGAGTTCCTGGTTCCAAAGCATCTCAGAGAGACTATCAGTTGTTCTTGTTTTTGTGATAGTGGTCATGATGCTAGTCTGTTCCATTTTATCCAGAGTTTTAAATGTTTCTATGCAGCCACTCTCTCATCAGATGATTGCCATAATGATACAATAGAAGATCAAGAAGATCTTGCAATACCGTTCACTATGAAGATGACTGAACAATTTAGGAGTGGTGAGTATCTGAAATTCTAGCTTTCCCTGAGTTGGTAAACTTCTCAGAAGTCAGAGAATGACCAAAAGCGGGGACTGAAAGACTGACCACACAAATGAACAATGGCCAGACCATGTATAAAGCTGGAACTCTGACCTGTATTCTCCAGCCATAAGTATGAGAAGCCAACCTACTATATACAGCAAATAATCCAGGAAGCCAGACAACTCCTGTAGCAATTGCCCCAGACAGCTAGGACTTGATTATTCCTATTTTATTTAATTTTTTCCTTGTTTGAAAGTCTCTCTTATGGAGTTGATTAATAACTGAAAAGTTCCCTAATATTTATTTCCACTTCCCCAAATTAGGACCAATCAGAGAAAAGCCAATATACATCCTTAATCCATCATATAGAATGCCCACCCACAGCTTCCCCATGCTGCTGCCTGCAACCAGAGCATCCCTGAAGCCTTCCCTGTTTTCCATTGTAAAGATTCTCACTCTCCTGCCTGCTGTGAGTGTCTGCCAAGTGATGGTAGTTGCCTGCCATCTTTGGCCAACTCTGAATAAACAGCCTTTGCTTATTCTCATTTGGGTGGCTGTGTTCATTTCCACAAGATCTTGAGAAGAATAAGGAATTGGGTATGTACAGGGTAAGGATGTTTTTACAAGAAAAGCTCAGATAATCTGAAGGATGTCCTGTCATTAGGCTGGCTCCAAAAGCTCAGCACAGCCCCCAAATACACGTGTACAAGCACACACACACCCTATATGCACATATGTACAATATGCACGTGCGTGCGCGTGCGCGCGTGCGCGCGGACACACACACACACACACACACACACACACACACACACAATCAATAGATGGTATTCCGGGATTCCTTCTGAAGCCCAGAAAGTGAGAAAGCAAAGGAAAATTAGAACAGGAAGAGATGGAAAAGTAGGGGCAGACAAAGGGAGGGGAGTGGTGTTTGAAAGTAGAGGGAAGTGAGGGAAAAGGATGGAAGAATTAGCCTAAAGAGATCCAAAGCCCATGCTGTCCCATGCCTCCCACCTATTCCCTGCAACCTGGATGCCTATGAAGATAAAGTAGGATAACAGCCAAGATGACATCCCTCAACTCATTCCGTTTTTTTTTTTTTTTTTTTTTTCAAGAGAGCTGTTGCCCATCTCAGCTCACTGCAGTTCAAGCGATTCTGCCTCCTGGGTTCAAGCGATTATCCTGCCTCAGCCTCTTCAGTAACTGAGATTACAGGTGCCTGCTACCATGCCCGGCTTTTTGTATTTTTAGTAGAAACAGGGTTTTGCCATGTTGGCCAGGCTTGTCTTGAACTCCTGACCTCAAGCAATCCACCCACCTTGGCCTCCCAAAGTGCTGAAATTCCAGGCATGAGCCACTGCTCCTAGCCAACCCTTCGTCTTTTGTTGAAAGCTCGGTTCTGGCCTGCAGGGTCCTCTTCCCTTGCGCGCTTAGGCCACTTACTGGCTAATGCTGACCTATGACAGATCAAGGAGCAGAACTGAGCAAGAAGCTACAGTGGCAGAGTCAGAGTCCTTCATTTTAAGTTCCCTCCAGCTGGGCACTCTTCCTCTCTTCTTTCTCTAATGTCTGAGTGGCCTCAGACATTAAAGAAATTGGGACAGATAACAGTTAAGAGTTCTCAGTCATGTCTGAGGAAGTATGTCTGAGTCTGAGGGCATGTGAGGGGCAGGACTGCACCTTCAGCAAAGCTGTGCTTCGTCTTCAGGTCTCAGCCTCTCCTTCCTGAGTTCCTTCCCTGTCTCTCTTCTTCCACACATCTACACAGAAACTCCTTGCCCCGCCCCCGCCAACCCCACCTCTCTGTCTGTCCTCTCTCTTTTCTTCTTAAGAATCCAGAATTGGCCAGGTGTGGTGGCTCGCTCCTGAATCCCAGTACTTTGGGAGGCCAAGGCAGGCAGATCACAAGGTCAAGAATTCAAGACCAGCCTGGCCAACATGGTGAAATCCCATCTCTACTAAGAATACGAAAATAGGCCAGGCGTGGTGGCGGGCGCCTATAATCCGAGCTACTCTTGAGGCTGAGGCAGGAGAATCTCTTGAACCCAGGAGGCTGTGGTTGCAGTGAGCCGAAATTGCACCACTGCACTCCAGCCTGGGCAACAGAGCAAGACTCCATTAAAAATAAAATCCAGAATCATTTAGACCATAGTCAGACTGAATATACATATTTAAGCCTTATTTCCAAATATAGAATAAAATGTTTTAGTTCCAGGGTGGGCGCAGTGGCTCACACCTGTAATCCCTGTACTTTGAGAGGCCTAGGTGGGAGTATCACAAGGTCAGGAGTTCAAGACCAGCCTGGCCAACATGGTGAAACCCCAACTCTACCAAGAATACGAAAATTAGCCAGGCATAATGGCATACTCCTGTAATCCCA